AAAAGAAACTGTATCCAACCAGTTATTGTTGTTATCTCGACTAAAATATAGTCAAGTAGACAACTGATACTTTCAAAATGAGGAAAAATTAAAATTAGCTCTCCGCAAAAGAGCACAGAAACATTCTGTTTGTTGAGTAGATATAACAGGATTGTCCATCCACAATTCAAAGAAAAATAAAAGGAGACCATTAATTTATTTTTTAGAGACATTATGATGGCTTAGGCACCATAGGAGATACAGAGGATGAACAGATTAATAGAAAATAGTCTCTGCTCTCAAGAATAGATGATAATAACACCAGTTCATTAAATGGGATGTACAAAAATCACAACTTTATTGTTTTGTCTTCCATGGTTCATGGTTTTCCCCTTCTTATGTTTGAAACCCTGGCAGGTCTATGACTCTACCAATCACTCTTAAATAAGAGACAATCCTATGGTTTTTGTAAGTCACAAACCACAGTCTCATTCAGTAATTTGAATGTCCAGTACTGTGGAATAATCAAATCTCTGAACTTGATTTAGAGATCAATCTTTTCCCATCTTCCAGTTAGGACCAGCTTCAGGGACGGTTGTGCCATTTTGCAGGGGCATGTGGTAAGCTTTTCCTTTCCTTCTGTACTCCTTGCTTAGCTTGCCAACCGTGAATTCTGGGACTTTATGGGTTGAGTGTGGAAAGGGAGGAGGGGGAGGGGTTTATTGAACATTCCTACTTGACTGGTCCTCTTATAAGATAGTTTTATATGATCCAGGCCTGGCTGTTATGAGGATTCTTTCTTGTGGGAAAACTTTTGGAGTTCTTATTTTTTTTCCAGACACTCTCACTCTGGCCTTGGCCTTGACTACCACAACACAGGCAGTACCTCTCCTTTTGTTAGCCAATTTTGGTCCCTGTTCAGCTTCTGTTTTCCAGCAGTCTCTGGCAGCTCCTCACTCTCTTGTCAAAACTATTTTGAGCAAGATCCAGGGCTGCAGATTCTTTAGGGCTATGTCAAACTCTAAAAGGAGTCTTCCTGAAGCTCCTCTCACTAGACTTGGAACAAGAAGGTAGCCCCCATCGCTCCCCTTTGGGGCCTGCTGGACTCACAGCATGGCAGCTCTCTCTTAAGAGACCTCTTCACAAATCTGCCCCTTCAAAAACCCCTCCCTAGTCTCTTTGTATATCAAAACTGTTGAAAAGTTTCAATAACAACAACAAAACCCTGGTTTTTAGGTCTTCCCTTTGAAGTTTTCCATTTTTGTCTACTTCAGGACTCATCTTGGTGACTAATATTTAATGTAACTTGGCACCTCAGTCAAATCATGTAATTTAACAAGATGACACAATTGCAATATCATGTGGTAAGCCCAGGACAAGAGATCTATACCTGTGGCATTGTAAGAGCAAAGAAAAAGGCTACCTCATTCAGCTGGATGAATGGTCTGGGAGATTCCTGGAGAAGGCAATTCCTTGACTCTGTCTTAATAGACTCTTGGGGAGGACTTTTATGGAGAGGGGCATGCTCAAGAAGACACCCTATACCAAGTACATTACATTTTTAGACAGATTCAAAAAACAAAATGGCCACGCACAATGGCTCACACCTATAATCCCAGCACTCTGGGAAGCCTAGGCGGGACCATCGCTCGAGGTTGGGAATTCGAGACCAGCCTGAGCAAGAGCAAGACCCCCATCTCTACAAAAAACAGAAAAAATTAGCCGGGTGTGGTGGTGCATGGCTGTAGTCCCAGCTACTTGGGAGGCTAAAGCAGGAGGATCACTTGAGCCCAGGAGTTGGAGGTTGCAGTGTGCTATGATTGACGCCACTGCACTCTAGTCCAGGCAACAGAGTGAGACTCTTGTCTCAAAAAAAAAAAAAAGTTTACAAAGAAACTTTTAGTGGGTTCCTTAATTTTCCCATTTAGTCTCTGTCCTCCAAAGTTCATGTGTTGTCAACTTGATCCCCAGTATTGCAATATTGGGAGGTGGGACCTAATGGGAGGTGTTTGGATCATGAAGGTATTGTCTTCTTGAGTGGATTAATGCCATTATTGACTGGGTTCCTGATAAAAGGATGAGTTTGGTCTCCTGTTGTTCTCTCACTCGTGCAATGCCTTTTGCTATGTTGTGACACAGCAAGAAAGTCTTCGCCAGATGCTGGTACCTTGATCTTGGACTTCTTAGTATCCAGAATCATGAGCAAATAATTTCTGTTCATTATAAATTGCCCATTCTGCGGTATTTTGTTACAGCAGCACAAAACAGACTATCTTAAGACAGTCTCTGAATTTCCTATAAATTCACACATGTAAATAACACTGTAAAATCAGAAACTATATATTATTATTAATTCATCCTGAGGGATTTCTTAAATTTTACATATGCT